CAAACTCCAAAAATAATTCATCATAAGCATCTTGTAACTCATTAAAAGATTTTGAATTTAATTTATTTGAGTTAGAAGATACATTTGGCTCTGTGAGAGCTAATAGAGATATCACCTTTATTGGTTCTTCTTCTTCCTTGTCTCCATAGATCTCCTCAAGCTTATCCTACATTTCCTTGGCACTTGAACAAGAAGAAACTCCTTCATATACATTAGGATCAATTGCATAACATAACATGTGCATAGCCTTTGTGTTTTGTTGAGTTTTCTTCCGTTCTTGATCACTCCACTTCTTTTCCTTCTTCGTAGGAGAGAAATATCCTTTCTCGATTATCATCCAAGCTTCCATATCAAATGATTGGATAAATATCACCATAAACCTCTTCCAACGACGATAATTTGTCCCGTTGAAGTGTGGAGGCACGTCAATTAGTCTGGACTCTTCCATAGAGAATGAACCGGAAGTGGACGTCATCTTTATCGATTTAACTCTTCCCGAATTGACTCAAGAGGTGGTTAAACCTTCAAATGAGTGAGGCTCTGATACCAATTGTTGAGTTAATCGATTGAAGGAATCGGCCAAGAGGGGGTGAATTGGCAATTAAAATTTTCGGTGGAAGCTTTTGCAGAAAATTGAAAAGATTTGCATAGCGATTTAGAGTGGTTCGACTTTCTCAACCAAAGTCTACGTCCACTACCTTAGCTATCCACACTAAGGATTTTCCAACAAATTCACTAATTTGTTCTTTCTTTTGAGGCCAAAGAGATAACCTTACAACACCCTCAAGAATATACCCCAATTCTTGAGAACACTCTTTCTCAAAGAGAAGGTTACAAATTTGCAAACTTACAAGGAAATCCTCACAAGGTAGATTATTTGCACAGTTCTAGAACAAGATAAGAACACTTAAAGATAATTACAATTGAGCACAAATTGTTTTCTTGAAAGCAAAATGAATATTGAAAGGAAATTTGGCTTGAATTGCACAAACTTGATGTTTGATGCTTTCTCTCTTGTTTCTCTATGATTTCTTCTTTCTTGTTATTGATCAATGGCTTCAGAACTTGTTTAAATACTCCTTCAAATGATTCTGAACGTTGGGGATGCTTAGTGAAGTCAATATAGTCGTTTAAGTGTGAAAACAATTAATAAATTCAGTTGGGAGGGTCAGTGCATCGATGCATACCCTAGGTGCATCGGTGCATCAGTGTAAAATTCAAATATTTTTGACTGTTGGACTCTCAGTGCATCGGTGCACTAAGAGTGCATCGGTGCACTAAGAGTGCATCGGTGCATTAAGAGTGCATCGATGCATGAAATGCATTCGATGTTTTGAAAAAGCATGAGTGCATCGATGCATCAAATGCACTAAGTGCATCGATGCATGGTATGTGCATCGATGCATAAAATGCATTCGATGTTCAATTAATTCCATGGTGCATCGATGCATGGATGGTGCATCGATGCATGGATTGGTGCATCGGTGCATAACTTTGAAAATTTGATTTTAGGCTTGATTTAGGTTCAAAATACTTTGTGAAAATTGTTTAAAAAATAGTTTAAGTATAAAACACAATTTTACACATTTAGTAAGGTTTGAAATTGATCTTAAAAGACTTGGAGTAATAATTTGATATTCGATTAATTGAATCGAATATACTTAGAAAATCATTTGTAAAATCTTAAAATTCATTTAAATTTAATTTGTTATATCGAAACACAAAAATGTTTTCAACATTTTGGTATGTCCAATTCCTTTTTAAGTTCTTTCATGTATTTTGAGGGTCATATGTTTGCGTTCAAGTCCAAAAATTTTGTCGGACGTAAGTGTTACACAGGTACTGCAAGAAAAAAAAAGGATAGTTAGAGCAACAGAGCCAACATCTTAAATGGAATTGGTGTATTTTTAAAACTCATTTAAAATGCTCAGACCTCTATAGCAGTGTTTCGATATGGCCGAACACAAACGCTAGAAATATTTCAACAGAAAAATGAGTTGAAATGACATAATATTCAACAGCTTTCATAAGACTGATAAAAATTTTGTGAATTCAACCAAGAACTGGTTCTGAGTGCCTGTCAAAAGGTCTCTAGTTCATCTAACATGAAATGCAAAACTAAGTGATTTGGCATAGTATCACTGCCCGTGAACACTTGTTTCTACAGCTTTTGCAGTCAAATAAGAACTAAATTCTTCATAACAAGAAAACATGCCTGAAACTAAACTGCTTAAAGACGACAACGATTGCAGTGCAGTTATCTTTACACCGTCTCTCACGAACAACTTTTCTTACGAAACATCGACTCAGGTAAACCTTCCTGCCCAACATATTTTAGGAAGCACGAGATACGATAGTCCTTTGATATTCTCCAGCTCAGACTATCATTATTTCTCAAACTATCATTATTTCTTTAATGGAAATGACTAGTTTAGTTCACATGAATAGTCAAATGATTATTTTATAACTATTAATAGTTTGAGGATTCAACAAACCAACATTCTATAGTTTATTGGTCATTTTTCTAACTTTCAATAGTTGGAGTACTAAACAAAGCAACTCCTTATAGTCATACTTCACCATAAATATTAAACATTAATAATTGAAAAAAATGGAAAAGAAAAGGACGATTAAGGTAAATTATTAACCCGAAAACCCACTCGCCCTTACAGATCTTAAACGTACTAATTATCTTCTCTCAACATTGGGAGATAGGCTTTGGGAGCCTCCTGTGATACAAGTAAACTTTACCATTATTGTTATTAAGTTGTCTAACATGTGCCGCAAGGCAATGCATCATCTCCATCTTCTCAAAGGCTCAATCCGCAAACTAGCAACCATCACCGTCGTTCCCCTTGGATCAAACTCTTCCAACATTGACATCTTCTCATCTTCTTGGGTAGAGTTTTGCAGTACGGTGCGTTTGAGCCTCTGGTACTTTTTCCTCGTCCTGTACCTCTTCATGCTCAGCCACACTGGAACTTTGCCTGTTTTCATGTTTTTAAATAACGAGATTAAGGTGGACAATGGCATTAAGCTGATGAGAATAAGCAAACGGAGGAGTTTGTAAATTAAAGAAAGAGTCGCATGATTGATCAGTGAAAAGCAGATTGACGGAAATGTGATATAGCAAAGGGATGGGTTGTAAGTTGAATGATAAATTGATAGGTGAACATAAACGGGGGAGTTGGAGAAATTAATGTGATCAAACTAAAGTTTGTTGTTTAGGTCGTGAAACGCGTTATAAGTAAAGTGCAGTCAGATCTTTGAAAACGATCTTCTGTGGGTAGCACTAGTGTGACTCTGCTTTAGTTAGTGGATTGCATACTGGACTATAAGATGTACTTTATTGATACACTAATAAAAGTTATAAAATAATTCTTTGACTATTTGACATTATTTTGTTGAATATTTTATTTATTAAAAGCTATAAAATAGTCACTCGACTATTTATATATTTTAAATTCGTCTTTTTTTTTTTGTAAAAATTAATGGTTGATTGAGTTGGACGTTAACATGCTGCTTACTGAGATATGATAGTCGTTTGAGATTTTGGGATTATATTTTAGCATATCTCAGTCAGCAGGTTAACTTCAAGCTCAGACTACCGTCAATTTTTTAACGAAAAAAGACGAACTTAGAGCATATGAATAGCCGAATAACCATTTTATAAGTTTTAATAGTCAAAAAACTCAACAAAATAATTTCCTATAATCGAAATATTATTTTGTACTTTACTTTTAATTTTACTACTGCGGATGAAAGATTAAAATTTGGGCACATAATGGTAACTATCATCTGAGAAAAAAATTGGTCGAATTCAGAGTCGGATGCATTAAGTAGATAACATAATTATAGATCGAATGACTTTGGTTACAAGTTAGATTGTTGGTTGCTAAGTTATTTTAATATTTAAAGAGATTATTCTCAAAATGTTTGATGATAATATAAAGAGTTTAAAAACTTTCAATTTATTAAGATATAATATTTAAATTTATATTCTTATTTTATAAGAAAAATGGATATCAAAATTCGGAATTAGATTTCAATTGAAACCGTCTCTTTTACACTCGCGACCCAACCAATTGCATTAAATTTTTGGGTAAAGTATAAAAATGGTTTCTCTACTATTAAATATTATTTTATTTAGTCTTATAACTATTAAAAGTTATAAACTGATCTCGCAACTATAAGATGTTGTTTTGTTTAGTCTCTAAACTGCTAAAATTACAAAATGATTAGTCAACTATTTATATGTTCTAAAATCGTCTTTTTCGTTAAAAAATTGACGTCCGTCTGAGTTGGACGTTAATCTACTGATTGAGATATGATAAAATCATATTTTAATGATGTCTATTGGCATTGTCGTTGCTTTCAAACATTGCTCGCCAACATAATATTTCAAGCATTGGCTTGACGACATAATATAAACGAAGATTCGATTCATAAAATACAGCTAAAACAATTATGTGATCATATTTTATCATATCACAGTTAATAAGTTAACGTCCTTCTTAAACGACTGTCAATTTTATAACAGAAAAAGACGAGTTTGAAATATATGAATAGTTTGGTGACTATTTTATAACTTTTAATAGTCAGATGATTCAAGAAAGTAATTTCCTATAGTTTAATAACCATTTTATAACTTTTAATAGTGAAAATATTTAACAAAACAATACCCATAGTACTTTTCCTAATTCTCTTACGACAAATTATGAAGACATATCAGCTACAATAATTGCATGTTCCTTTAAGATTCTGAAATTACAAATTCAGTTAGTTTAGTAAATGGAATATGACGATATAAGGGAAAATAATAATCAGGTGAGAGATAAACAACGTCAATATTAATATTAAAATTTATACATAGTATACATATAAATAAATATTCCGAGTTAGTATAATTTGCATTCAGAATTTTCGTATTTTCTTACAAAGGAGAATGAATATATATCTCAATCTAACAGATATCCGTACCAAACATTGACTTTGAAAAATCTGCTTAATGTAGCTGTTGAACCCGATTCTACTAATCACATAGTTTATATTTCAATATCTGATTGATTCGTTTGGAGAGGGGTGACGGTGCTTTCTGGAGATTCAACATTACGTTGCATTTCAGCTATCATCTTGAAATATGCATGAGGTGCCCAACCTAGTTGATCAAAATTAAGATTTTGTTAAGAAGGAATGAACATCCGTTTGTAAATTACTAATCTTTGAAATATATAACAGTGTTCGAATGCAATGTTCCCGTATCTATATTTGAATTAAAATATGTAAGACACGAATGTATTCGAGGAAATGAAGTATCCGATGAACATTACACGTACCATCGTGATAATGAGGAAAGGGAAAGAATTGCAGGTAACAAAATGCTGCCATTGATGATCCTGCACCAGCAAAACAAATGAATGGAACATTTATTAGTTTTTTTCAGTAGAGGAAAATCATTAGTCGTCCAAGTTTAGTGTAGAACGGAGAGACCTATAAGAGCTCCGGCGAAAACATCTGTCCAATGATGCCAGTAGTCGTCAACGCGAGAAATACCGATAAGAACAGCAACGAGTACTGGGATAATCACGATACAATTTTTTGCCACATGACCTTGACGATCGAATGCCCGGATCTTTCCCGATAAATACCATGAAAGGAAACAAAGACCTGCGAAGGACCCTGCATAGGGGCAAACCACAAAACTGTTATGTTCCTCGCAGCATGATTAAAACCACTCCAGAAATCTAGAAAAATAAAATGGATGTTGATCTTACATGAAGTATGTCCACTAGGAAAACTTTTGTATCCTTCCTTTATAATCTTTGCATCCCCATGGCATATGACATCCCCGTTAACTTGGTCGAACACCTGTACATGTCGACAATATTCGAGATAAATGAAGGAAAAGCAAGCAATGAATCCTTGCCTTACAGGAAAAAAAATACATTGCTATGCAGCACACACCGCCTTTCCATCGGGGAAACACCGATAGAAGAAATTCGGTCTCGGCCTACCAACGGCGTCTTTGATAGAATCCGTAATAACTCCAGTTAGAAGAACAGAATATAGAATACCTAACTTGCATATCAAGAAACATTTCAATAAGTAACCATGATCGTATCAACTTAATTACAGTAAAAAAAGTGAAACAAGTACCTAGTACGGCGTGGTGAAGATCATAAATATCTTTTCTCCAATAGTAGTATAAGCCGAAAATCATGAAAGGCACGAATACTACAATAACCTAATTCAAATGGGGTTAGAAAACTTTTTATGATTGTTTTGAAAGCTACAATACAGATTTCAAGTTACAATACACATACTGGTACAGCCCACATCGGAATAGTGTCCTTATGGAAGGGGAATTTTAAATCCGTCATCATGTCTTGTCCGATGAAACGGTGAAATGGCTCGATATAGTTCAGCAGGCCGTCGATCACACCGAGAAGTATCAGCATCAACCAGCTATGTAAATTTGCTCTGGCCACCTTGATTCCATGAGATTTTATTGTATGAGTTCCCAGTGAGATCTCTGTCATCTTTTCCACCGGAGACAAAAATACCACAATTTGTAAATAATCAAATCATAATTTTTTTCTATTTTAAGACTAAAATATAAGTTTACCGCTATGTTAATTTTACAAAACTCGTACGAAAATTCACCCTAATTATCTAATTCAATTGATGCCTATGATTATTTTCGAAAAGATAATATTCAACGAATTTAAAATTTGAACCCTTGTATCCTACGATGAACAAAATCCCATTGATATCTACAAAATACTAGTAAATGCATAGAAAGAGGGAATGAATAAAAGTACCTTAAGGATGATGACGGTGGATTGCTGAAATTGGAGGAATCAACAAGCACTGAGAGAAAAGGGATTATTTCCTCATTTATTGTGTGCTGAAAGGAAGGGTTTTAATATATTTTTCTAACTCCAAGAAGAAAAAAAATAGTAATAATTTTACGGTTAGAAATGAAGGGGAAAATAACCCTCAGATTCCTGATTTTATTAGCATTTACCACCGTTCATTATTTTCATCGCAGCAAATTAAACTTCTTAATTTGTTTTTCTTTTTTAAATTACCGCAAGGATACGACATATCGGATTATGTAACCAATCTTGAAAATTGCTGATAATATCATGCTATTATTAGGTAAGAAACACGTTTAATGCAGGGAATGATTGATTGTCAAAGAGATATGAAACAATAATACGTAATATTTGTTTAAAGATTTTTAATTATTTAATGAACACTTATATCTTATATAGTATTTGAACCTAAAATTTCATTAAGATTATTTGATTCGTACAATTAAACACTTTAAATATAATTGAAATCATATAAAACCGACATAAAAATTACACATTATGAAGCCAATACAAACATAAACAAAGCAGTAAAATAAAAACAGATAAAAATCATTCGAAAAAATAAAACAGCTTCTCATCGTCAACCCATCATTCTTTGGTTCATCGGTGCCATCATTACCGGCGGCGGCTGTTGCATCTGGTTCCTCGCCAGGTTTCCATGCCATCCTACAAAAACATAAATAAGTTAATAAATAATTTCTTCGATCCATGATTACTGTCGTAATAAATATATTATATTATCAGTAAATGAGGCATGAATTGTATCATTACCAATAGAAGGATCCCAACCCCTATGTTGAAGCTCCCTGTATTCTTGACAAAGAGCACACCACTCGCAAAAGAAGTGGGTGACCCAATCGGGTGCCGGAGCTTCCGGCAACCCGAACTTGCTTCTTAGTTTGGTTCTGTAAGTGCATGACATTAGGCACGGCATCCCTATACAGAAGGCGATTGCACCGTAAAGCAGTCCACTGGTTCCACAAGCTGTTAAGTGCATCAACATTCAACAGCACCAAATCATTAGAACTTCCATATTTTATTCTAAAACACTTATTTCTTTTATCATATCAAAATTTTATGTATAAATATGCTTACTTGTGTGACCATCATCCACAATTTCCGCGATCTGGCCGAATGTCAAGCATGGGAAGAAGGCTGTCACCAGAGCTGAAAAGTAAAAAGAAAATATACATTAGCCATTAATTGTGAAGCGAGGACGTGTGTTTTTGTCTTTGTTTGTGCATGCCATGAACCCGGCGTGTTCGATATTGAAAATTTTAAAGAAGATTTACCGTTCATCGGATCATCCATGAAGTCGAAAAGACCACTTCTCCAACCGTAGCCTCCACCAGGCCCCACCGGGATCCCCGCCACGGCTGGTTTATGTGGTGAAGCAGGCGGCATACCAGCCTGATCAGGGGGCAAGAATTCGGTTGAGGAAACGCTTGTGGTGAAACGTTAGGGGCGTAACCAGTCTGAGATGGCGTCACTTGAGGACCTACATTTGCATACATCTGATTTGTAGGTGGGCTTTTCGGCGGGTACTGCACCGGTTGAGGTGGATAAGCCGCTGCTGGCTGCTGGTTTGGCATGTTAGTATATGCTGGATTCGGATTGTACTGCATGTTTTGAGGCGGGTATGGGGCGGGCCGCTGCGGAGGAGGATAGGCTTGGTTCGGTTGTTGTGGTGGGTATTGCGGTGGCTGCTGCTGTGCTGGTGGTGGATATTGTGGGGGCTGAGCCTGGGGATCAGTACCACCAGGTGCGCCCATTTGGTATTGTTGGCCTTGTTCATTGTGGTTCTGATAAGTTTGTGCTTGATACTCATCGGCTGCATTTGTAGTCGTTTCGAGGTTCGGATCATATTCTTGAGGGTGAAGCTCGTATTCCGTTTGTGCTTCAGGGTCTGCATCAGGGCGTCCCATCCCTTATTCTCTCGCTAGGATCTTCGTTTGAGATACTAGTTGATAGTAAAAGAAGGTTTTATGCTTACTTACAACAATTAAGCTTCTTTATAGGCAAAAAATATTGAAGTCAATGCTAGCTAACATCCAAAAGTACGTAGCAGCAATATTTTACTATAATGAATTCAAATGTGAACGAAATTTCCGAAATTTTGTAAAGTCAATAAAAGAATGCAATATATGTACAAAAATTAGCAAGTTGGATTTGGAGGAAGATAAGCATGAAGCGAGGAGGTAGTGGCGGAGGTGAGGATGTGTCCATACTGAAATTCAAATTGTTTATGTTATTTGTTCATTCTATTAATGGTACATATCTTAAAATTTTATTTATGTTTATCTTATAAAAAAAAATTATATTATTAATACATATGCACTCACCTTAAAAAAAATATTTTTGAATACAGGAGGGGGAGAGTGGGTAGCAAACAATTATAGTTGACTTAGGAGATGGTTGCTTCCGGGTAAGTTCATGTACGTGGTTTATGAACTTGTTTAACAAAGTCCACGGCGACATGACAGATGGGTTGGAATAATTGGAGTGGTTTACTTTGACGATTTGGATGCATGCAAGGCGTAGACTTTCAAACTTCCGATTCTCGGCTGGCAATGGGACCATCCAATGAATCCCATGTGCGAGTCCTATACATAGTACATTCACGCTAAGTTTACGTTGTAATTGTGCGCAACTTCTCTGCCCAAGTTTAGTCTCAAAGTCTTCTTCTCCATTGCACCCAGAAAAGTGTATGATTTTTTTTTATCATCCGTTATCTATTTAAAGAGTTAATATGTTTTCTCTCTCTCATTTCCTAAGACTTTGTCATGATTAAAATGAACCGACTCGTGTCACACAATTTTAGCTTATAAGTTTTCTGATGAAAATATCTACGTATACAAGACCTTAAACTCAATACTTTTTTAAATGATATCAAACTACTTATCACTTGAATCAACCTCAAAACTTGCTTAAATGATATCAAGTTACTTACCACTTGAACCAACCTCACTGTTTAGTATTTAATTAAAAGTTATTTAACCTATTGTTATTTGATCCATTGAAAGTTTGTAGGAAAATACTTAATTTATTTATCCATTGAAAGTTTGTAGGAAAATACTTAATTTATTTTAAATAGAAAACGGTTTGATGTATGAACTTATTTATATATAAGAATGTTCTTTCTAACGGAGTTGACGAAACTAATTCAAATCCAAAAAAATATACATATCGCTGTGGAATTTGATATAAAAACAAATCAAGTAGATTAATCTAAATTGAAGCAGAAACGGAGTCAACATTTTCATAATAAAAATAGTTCAAAATGGTTTAATTTAAAATTAAATAATTTTAATATAAAAACAATCCGGTTCACAACCCTCGATGGGCCAAATTTAGAACGACTTGATTTTCTTAAATTTGAAATAATCTTATACGAAATAATCAACTTGAACTAAAATTCTTCTGATTTTCATTTAAAAATTTAAAAAAATAGACTATATATATACACATATGTATTTAAAAAGTCATTATAACTGATGTCATTGCAGCATATATTCTTTAAAGATGCAACTGTGATTATGATTTGGTATACTCCTCTTCTGATTATGTTGTAATTTTTACGTGAATCTTCTATTTCTCATTCTTGGATTTAATATGATCAACATGAGCTGTCTCATTTAGTGCAATATTTATTAACATTTTAGTAAAAGAAAATAATGTTCAGATTTCACTAGTAATTTCATTTGATTTTAGAACGAAAAGGAAATTAATTTATGATATACAGTAATAGATTGGATATTTTATTTGAAGGAATTAATTTCTGAATGTAATTTTAATAACAATCTTAATTCTACTGATTTTTTTGGGGAAAGAAAATGAAATTAAATTATGGTAGCAGATTTTGACATTTAATTTGGAAAAGAAACCCCTACAAGATATAAATTAGTGGGGTTTTATTTTTTTATTTATAGAATAAAATAGAAGTATAAAAATATCTAAAGTATTATGCGAGATTGTTAAAAACTTTCAGCTATTTAAATATTTAAAGAGTATCAAATTTTAGTTTCGTACTACGTGTTTTTTTGTCAATTCATTTTTTGGAAAATACCATAAGAAATAGAAAAAACCAAGAGCAAAGAATTGAGAAATAGGAATAAAAAATATACAAATAAAAATCAAGAAAAGAGTAGTTAGTCTGTATATCAATTATATCTTATCAATATTTTATTAGCTTTATAGTTCTTGAGAAATTAATTTTTTAAAAAATAAGTTTTTTTAATAGGTTGGAGTGATTACAATGTAATATATGTTTGAAAGGCTCACAACCATTTGATAACGAATACTCAAACACCCCTACAGATTTCATGATCGAAACTGAGATTTCTCAGTATAACAACCATCTCTAACCATTGAATTTAGGGTAAACTATAGTAATGGTCACTGAACATTTCTGAAGCTTGCATTTAGGTCCCCAACTTTTAAAACTTGCAATACAGTCCCCCAACATTTATTCCGTTTGCAATATGGTCCCCAAACTTAAACCACCGTTAGAAATTAGGGTAAATTATATAAAAGGTTATTGAACTTTTCAGACACTTGAATTTAGGTCCCCCAACTTTTAAAACTTGCAAAATAGTCCTCAATTTCATTCTAAACCCCAATTTCCAAAGTAATTCAATTTCATTCTAAACCCTAAATTCCAAAATAATTCAATTAAATTCAATTATGTCAGATTTATTATTATTTAATTTCATCTTATTTCATGTGATACATATTTTTTATATAAATATAATAGTATAATTCTTATCTGTTGGAGAAATTTTTTAATTAAAAAAAGTAGTTAGGATATAGAAGAGGTTTAAAATAATTCGAATTTTAAATTTATAAAATGTTATTTTGACGTATAAATAAAAGTGTTAGGTTGACAACTTAACTATCTAGCCCTTTTTACTTTTGTCATCGATCTTTTAAATTTATCAATCATACAACATAATTATTTAACTGTTTCAACTAAGCCACTAGTCGTTACCAATTGATACAAATGATGAAGTGGCAGTTAAAAGGAATTGACATTATTATACATTCAGTCTTTATTATTTATATAATCAATTTGGTCCTAAATTAAATAGAATTTAATAAATTAATCATTTAATTAGGATCTGACATGTGTTAGCACATGATCATGACACGTGTCATTGGTGACACATGTCACCACCTAATTATTTATATATGCTATCAATTTGGTCCTAAATTAAATAAAATTTAATAAATTAATCATTTAACCATGATCTGACATGTGTTAACACATGATCATGATATATGTTATTGGTGACACATGTCACCACCTAATTAGAAGAAAATTAAGTTACAAAGAAGTAAAATTTAGGTCTTGGGCAAACTCAAACCTGAGTCACGCAAATGAAAGATACAGGGTGGAGCCACTAAGCTAACACCATCGTTTGTGTTAAGAGATATACAATAATACATATACTAATAGTATGACCAATGCCAGAAAAAAAAAATAATGGAAATGGAAATAATGAGATTTGAACTTCGGCAAAAAATTTGAAAACAATAAATGATGGGAAAATATTATATTTTTTACAATAAAAATATTATATTTGATAAATTGTTTGATAGGTTTAATATATTTTTTAAATATTAGTTGATACAATATTTTAAAAGAATAAATTTAAGATTTATATACTTTTAAACTAAATTTAATAATTATATTTTTCATATTTATAATTCATGATTATATATATAATCTTAAGTTGAGTATTTCTAATATAATTAATAATTTTAATTTCTTATTAAAAATAAAATATTCAAAAAATATAAATGATTCATACATTAATATGAATATATTTTTTATTTATACATCTAAATATAAATATACATTTATATAAATATATTTTTATTCGTATATTGAAATATTTTGATTAAAATATAAACATATTTAAATACTAGTTTATACAAGAAAAATAAAATATATCAAAAATAAAATGATTCATACATTTAAATATAAATTGAATCATTTATATTTTCTATACATCTATATTTAATAAGAAAATAAAATTATTGGGGGACTGTTTTGCAAGTTTTAAAAGTTGGGGACCTAAATTCAAGTGCCTGAAAAGTTCAATGACCCGTTTATATAATTTACCCTAATTTTCTAACAGTGATTTAAGTTGGGGGACCATATTGTAAACGGAATAAATGTTGGGGGACTGTATTGCAAATTTTAAAAGTTGGAGGACCTAAATGCAAGCTTCAGAAATATTCAGTGACCATTACTATACTTTACCCTTGAATTTATTTGATTCGTATTTAAATTCACATGTTTGTATACTTCTATATGTGATAATTTAAGTTGCATATATATAATTTATATATTTTTTAGAAATTTAATTATATATATATATATATATATATATATCAATATGAATTTTTAATAATTTAAGAGTATTTTTTTTAATTTTAAGGGGACCAATGAATTTTTTTAAATAAAAATTAGGGACTTAATAATAATTTTGTTTTTTCAAAGTTTTGAGGTCATGACATGGAGATTAACGTTGGACGTGGTCACGTTGAAAGATTAAGAGAAATAACAAGTTGAACAAAATTTTAATATTTAAATATGCAAATTATCCATTAATTAGTTAGTGGACGTGTAGTTGATGATGATTTAGTGATTCAGGACAAAACAATCGATGTTGAAAGTTTAATGTTAACTCTAGTGTTTATGTCATTTTCTACGGATCAGATCACTAGTTTTCTCTTTAATTTTGTTTAGCGGGTGGTTATACAGATTTTGATACTAGTTGTCAACTGCATTCTTTATTATTTTTATTTTTAAAAATAAAAATAAGGGTAAATAACACTAGTGACCATTTAACTATTGTCCAATTTCATTTTGACCATCGATGTTTTAATTTAATCAATCATACCACTCAACTATTTTAATGTTGTTAACAAGTCACTGGTCGTTAATTTTTTTTAACAAAAATGGTGATATTTCTGTTAAAAAAATTGGTATAATTATACATTTGGTCCTCAGTACTTACATATTCTATCAATTTAGTTCTAATTTTAAATTTAATTTAAAAAATTAACCCTCCAATCCAGAGGTGCCACGTGTCAACAAATTATTGCGACACATTTCCAAATTATGTGGTGGCACGTGTCATTTGGAAATGTGTCACAATAATTTGTTGACACATGGCACCTCCGTATTGGAGGGTTAATTTTTTAAATTAAATTAAAGTTATGACTAAATTGATAGAATATGTAAATATTGAGGACAAAATGTATAATTGTGCCAATTTTGTTAACTAATACGTCACCATCTCAGTTGAAAATTAACGGTCAGTGGCTTGATTGAAACATTTAAATAGTTGGATGGTCTGAATGATTAAATCAAAACATCGATAGTCAAAATGAATTTGGACAATAGTTAAGTGATCACCAGTGTAGTTTACCCTAAAAATAACTATCCATTTGAACACCAAACCACAATTGAAATGAAATAGTAAAATTTTATTCAAATTTTATGTACTTAAATTTCTTTAACAAGTTAAACAATTTTGTTATTTATATTTTTTGTTTTAATTGGTATTGGCCTATTGGGATATTTTAATTAGAAAAGTTAATGGATTTTTCCTAAATTTTATCAATTATAATAAAAATAAAAATGAGCGTTACAATTTACAACAAGAAGAAGATAAATATCCATAAAGAGTGGCGCCAAACGCCCAATGGAGGGCAGTTGACAGTTGAGCCTTTTATCCCTTTCTATCTTTAGCTACCTGCTTCCATGGGGTGCTCCGCTTGTTCTTGGCTCTACCCCTTTAGTCCCATGACAATGGCCTCCTCAACTCTCGGACAACCTTTACATAAACCCATCTTCTTCAAGCCCATCACTGCCATTTCTTGTTCCATGGTTGGCCCAACAAGTTCTTCATCGTCCTCTTCGACTGGATCATACGGCACTGGCTGTAGCAACCCAATCCGTCGACACCTACCACTGTCCACATCGTATGATACTCCTCCTGAGATCCTCCGCCACTGGATCGAACTTCAACAACCTCAAGCTTCTCAAGGTAAACGATTCAGTACTTTTTTTTCCATATAAATTACATTGGTCAAGCATCTTAAGCTGCATACAAAAGCTTAATAACAATTTTGAATGCAATAATTGGTTGTATTTCAATGAATTTCTCTCGGGGTTTCTATTGAAGCTATGACTATTGTGTTTAATGAATTTGTTGCAGTTATTTGTTTCGTCTCCATCAATCAAGATTTTCGGTTAATTAGCAGTATTTTTAATGAAATAGAAAGCTTGATTATGGATTTAATTTACTTTAATGCTTAATCTGTGTTCCAGATAGATTTACTGTGGCATCGTATAACATATTGGGAGACAGAAATGCTTCAAAACACAAGGATTTGTACCTAAATGTTCCTTCAGATTACATAAGATGGGGTTACCGGAAAAGGGTCTTATGTGAAGAAATAATGAGATGGAACCCAGATATAATTTGTATGCAAGTAAGCTTTCTATCTTTTCTTCTTTTATTCAGAATTCATTCAAATGATTAAACTTTCAACTAAAGGGTGCTAGTTAATTGCCTTAGGAGGTGGACAAGTACTTTGATCTAAGGAACACCATGGAGAAGGCAGGATATGTTGGTTCTTATAAGGTTAAATTTTCTGTTGGAGGTTTACTCTGTCTATGCATTTTAATAAAAGTTATTTATCAGAACAATTATGAAATTTGACATGAAATGTATGACAGCGGCGCACAGGAGATAATGTTGATGGGTGTGCTACATTTTGGAAACCTTCCAAGTGAGCAAGTTATAGCATCTTTGATTAATGTCTGATTTTTTTTTTTGAAGATTAATGTCTGAAAATTTGACTTGCTTGATTTTGTATCGTTTAATTCCTTTCTGTGGTCAGGTTCCGATTGTTGGAGACGGAAAGCATCGAATTTAAGGGATTTGGTCTTCGTGATAATGTTGCTCAGCTTTCTGTTTTTGAGGTAGGCATGAATTAGTACCGGTGTTTTATAATGTTGTAATAGGTGCTTCTTGCAGCGTTGCTCTGGATGTTGAATTCAAGGCTTTCAAGCTTTCTTTTCGGTACTTAAAATCTTATAGATAATTCCAACAAATTTGATCCCAAGCAGGGATGGACCGAGGGGGGCGGATGGGGCATTCACCCCTTGAAAATTTAAAATTACCATATATTTTAGATTTTCTCTATGTATCTTCTATTGAAAATATGTTTTCGTCCCCTTCTAAAATTTTAGAAGTTCGCCCCTTAACATAAACTTCTGCGTCCGTCCCTGATCCAAAGCTCTAGAAAGTTGTCAGCTAACATAAGTTGAAAACTTTCAGAAAATATCTGCACTAATCTTGTTCGTTAATCCTTCTTCCCCAGGTAGCATTTTTTTTTCTTCGTTAATTTCAGTTTTTTAGCAGTTCTATATGATAATCACCATTTGCAAAATATGCACCTTTCTTATTGTTAGGTATGGCTCATAAATATACCAGTAAAGAGGACAGGAGATGGAGCAGAGTGAGCGAACATCAACTGTCCTTACAAAGAAAGTCTCGTTGTGGGGTTACGAATTATGTGGGTTGGGGGTGCGGGGGCGCAGCCCCGCGGTACGGTACAGGGTTAATTTTGTAATTATGTACCAGGGTTTTCTATTATAAATAGAGATGTAACCTAGACCTAAAATATCATTGAATAAAAACTTCTAGCGCCGCCTAGGCACCGAGGACGTAAGCACATTGCCGAACCTCGTAAAATTCTCGTGTTCTTTTGTTTTCTTTACCCGTTTTCGCCAACAATTGGTATCAGATGTCAGGAGCAAAATTCGAAGTCGCGAAATTCGATGGTCAGGGTAACTTCGGATTATGGCAAACGAGGGTGAAGGATCTATTGGCGCAGCAAGGGATCTTGAAGGCTTTGCGATCTACAAAGCCGGCGTCGATGGATGAGGAAGATTGGGAAGAATTGCAGCAGGGAGCGGCAGGAACCATACGATTATGCTTGGCGGACGAGGTCATATATCACGTCATGCATCTATCGTCTCCAGACGAAATTTGGAGGAAGTTGGAAAGTCAGTTTATGTCCAAATCCTTAACGACAAAACTGTATCTGAAGCAGCGGCTGTATGGGCTGAAGATGCAGGGTGATCACGATTTGGCGCAACACGTGAATGTCTTCAATCAAATCGTTTCTGATCTGGCTCGGCTTGATGTGAAAATTGAGGATGAAGACAGAGCGATGATTCTGTTGTGTTCGTTGCCTCCCTCTTACGAACACATGGTGACTACTCTTACATATGGGAAAGAGACTATCAATGTTGAGGAGATTACTGCAGCCTTGTTGGCTCACAACCAGCGGAAGCAGAATGCAGGGGAAAGCTCTCAAGCCGATAGCTTATATGTCAAGGGTAATCGAGATCGTGGACGGAAGCCAGAGAAGGCAGGGTCCGGGAAGCGGAATTCCAGATCCAAATCCAGGGATAAGAAGACGATTCACTGTTACAAGTGCAAGGAGGCGGGACATATGAAGCGAGACTGTCCGAAGTTGAAAAAGCAGACTGATGAGAAGCGTGATGGCTCATCCAAGTCTGTGAACGTGGTTGAGGATGATAATTCTGATTGCAGTGAGGGTGATATGCTTTCTATTTCAACGACACAATTGACGGATGCTTGGATTCTTGATTCTGGATGTTCTTATCACATCACGCCAAATAGGGAATGGTTTTCGACATACAGGCCGGTTAATTCTGGTTCGGTTTATTTGGGTGATGATCGATGTTGCAATATTGTTGGTATTGGTGATGTCAGAATTAAGATGCACGATGGCTCCGTTCGGACGTTGAGTGGTGTTCGACATATCCCAGACTTGAAGAAGAATTTGATTTCCTTGGGCACTTTGCACAAGAATGGTTTTATCCCTAAGGCTGACGAGGATAGGGAAACCATTCGGATTGTTAAAGGAGCATTGACTGTGATGAAAGGCAAGATGACTGCAGGGAATATCTACAGATTGTTAGGGAGTACCGTTGCAGGTGGAGTTCACTCTGTTGAGTCCTGTGATGATACGACAAAATTGTGGCATATGCGCCTTGCTCATCTTAGTGAACGTGGTATGACAGAATTACACAAGAGAAACTTGTTGCATGGTGTCAAAAGCTGTAAGCTCGACTTTTGCAAGTATTGTGTTCTTGGTAAACAGACTAAAGTCCGTTTCAAGACTGCGAAGCACACAACTCAAGGGATTCTTGATTATGTGCATTCTGATGTATGGGGGCCTTCCACGACATCGTCTTTGGGTGGATCTAGGTACTATGTTACTTTTATTGATGATTTTTCACGGAAAGTTTGGGTGTATTTTTTGAAACAGAAATCTGAAGTTTTTAAGAAGTTCAAGTTGTGGAAAGCTGAGGTAGAAAACCAAACAGGACGAAAAATCAAGTGTTTGCGGTCTGACAATGGTACGGAGTACACAGATTCACAGTTCCTACAATTCTGTAAGGAGCATGGGATTCAGAGGCATTTTACAGTGCGCAAGACACCACAACAGAATGGTGTTGCGGAACGAATGAACAGGTCGTTGAATGAAAGAGCCAGATGTTTGCGGTTGAATGCGGGGCTTCCCAAACACTTCTGGGCTGAGGCTGTTAACATGGCGTGTTACCTTATCAACAGATCGCCAAGGGCATCGCTGGCTGGGAAAGTTGCAGAAGAGGTATGGACTGGTCATGATGTTAGTTTTGATAACTTACGGATTTTTTGTTGTCCTGCTTATGTGCATGTACCTGCTGATGAGAGATCCAAACTTGATGCAAAATCGAAGGAGTGCATTTTTCTGGGTTACAAGAAAGGTGTCAAAGGATTCAAGTTCTGGGATCCAGTTGCGAAGAAAGTTGTGATTAGTAGAGATGTCGTTTTGATGAACAATCCATGTTGCAGCAGAAGCAAGACACGACAGTGGTGGATTTCGAGCAGTTTCCAGTTGAGAAACCAGAAACTTCTCAACCGACTTCTGGTGGTTCCACTACGGATGATTTGCAGGATTATAGTCTCGCCAGAGACAGGGTGAGACGGACGAATATAAAGCCTCCGAACAGATTGGGTTTTGAAGACTTGGTATCTTTTGCACTTATTGTTAGCAGTGATGATCCGGTTACTTTTCATGATGCCGTTACTAGTCAGGAAAACGACAAGTGGATGGCAGCCATGGTTGAGGAGATGGAGTCTTTAAATCACAATCGCACATGGGAGTTAGTTCCCCTTCCTGAGGGTAAGAAGCCGATTGGTTGCAAATGGGTGTATAAGAAGAAACCAGTAGTAACAGAAAAAGGGGGGGAGAAGTTCAAGGCTCGTTTGGTAGCGAAGGGTTTTTCACAGCAGAAAGGAGTTGATTATGATGAAATCTTTTCTCCTGTGGTCAGGCACACTTCAATCCGAGCAGTACTTGCATTGGTGGCTAGTTGGGATTTGCATTTAGAGCAGATGAATGTTAAAACTGCTTTTTTGCATGGTGATTTAGAGGAGCAGATCTACATGCGGCAACCTGAAGGTTTCACTCAATCTGGAAACGAGCATTTAGTTTGCAGATTGAAGAAATCTTTGTACGGGTTGAAACAGTCTCCAAGACAGTGGTATAAACGGTTTGACTCCTATATGATCAAGATTGGCTACAACCGATGTGAGTATGATTGTTGTGTCTATGTTAGAGCCTTGATGATGATTCTTTATTTTTCTATTACTGTATGTTGATGATATGTTGATTGCTGCGAAGAACATGGATGATGTTATCTGTTTGAAAACTTTATTGAGTCAGGAATTTGATATGAAAGATTTAGGTGCTGCAAAGAAAATTCTTGGAATGAAAATTTGCAGGGACAGAGACTCAAGGAAACTGCGGCTATCTCAACGGGGTTATGTTGAGAAAATGCTAGAAAGGTTTGCGATGAGCAGCGCAAAACCAGTTAGCACTCCATTGGCGAATCACTTTAAGCTCTCATCAGAACAGTGCCCCAAGACAGATAAGGAAGCTGAAGATATGGCAAAGGTTCCGTATTCTAATGCTGTTGGCTGCTTGATGTATGCGATGGTATGTACTCGTCCTGATTTAGCTCATGCTGTTAGTCAAGTTTGTAAGTACATGTCTAAACCTGGTAAGCAACATTGGGAAGCAGTCAAGTGGATCTTTCGGTACTTAAAGGGTACTGTGGGACATGGAATTGTTTTTGGGAGTCAGCGGGATAATCCTTTGGTTGTAGGATATGTGGATTCAGACTATGCAGGTGACTTGGATATAGAAGATCTACGACAGGGTATGTCTTTACTCTTGGTGGAGGGCCTATTTGTTGGAAGTCTACTGTTCAATCTATTGTGGCTCTATCTACAACTGAAGCTGAGTACATGGCAGCGGTTGAAGCTGCAAAAGAAGCTTTATGGCTTACTGGTTAGTGAAGGAGTTGGTGTTCAACAAGGTGGAGTTCAGTTGCTTTGTGATAATCAAAGTGCTATTCACTTGGCTAAGAATCAGGTGTATCGTGCTAGAACTAAACATATTGATGTAAGGTTCCACAAGATCAGAGAGTTGGTTGCATATGGAGAGGTTTTGTTTCAGAAGGTACATACTGATGAAAATGCCGCTGATATGTTCACTAAGCCAGTTACGACAGACAAGTTCAAGCATTGCTTGGACTTGTTGAATGTTTCGAGTTGTTAAAGAATTAAGGTAACCCAACCCACATTGAATTTTCCAAGAGGCAGGATATTCGCCAAGGTGGAGATTTGTTAGGTATGGCTTATAAATATACCAGTAAAGAGGACAGGAGATGGAGCGGAGTGAGCGAAGCGAACATCAACTGTCCTTACAAAGAAAGTCTCGTTGTGGGGTTACGAATTATATGGGTTGGGGGTGCGGGGGCGCAGCCCCCGCGGTACGGTACAGGGTTAATTTTGTAATTATGTACCAGGGTTTTCTATTATAAATAGAGATGTAACCTAGACCTAAAATATCATTGAATAAAAACTTCTAGCGCCGCCTAGGCACCGAGGACGTAAGCACATTGCCGAACCTCGTAAAATTCTCGTGTTCTTTTGTTTTCTTTACCCGTTTTCGCCAACACTTATCTTACTCGGGCATGTTCTACTCACACAGACTCGAAGAATACCATATTATAAGAATTTGATCCACAGTTTTAATTCTTTACCTTAAATTAATATTGTTCTTTCTTAGTCTTTTAGCTGTTATTTGTATGACAAGCATATAATGTAAAAGCTACAAAGAAGTGGGGCAGGAGTATTAATATTACCATCGTCTGGTATGCATGCATATCACACTGAGAAGTTATTGAAGATTATGCCTTAACATAGATTCTGTTTGAACTTAATATTCTAAGTCGTTTAGTATTACTGGTTGGCTTACTCAATATTAAGCTGAAAATGCTACCTGTTTTATTCACGTTTCTATAAATAATTTGCATAAGATTGAAGTTAAATTCCATTTTCCTTTTTAACATGTTCATATTGGCTTATGCCGTTCATGGAAGACTTGTCCATTCCATATTTGATTCCATTACATACAGACAGATGTGCAGAGATGAATCTAGAAGACTAGTTGCTGGTAACATCCATGTGCTGTATAACCCAAGCCGTGGAGAAGTAAAGCTAGGTCAAGTAAGTCTCTTTGCATTATTCATGTATAAAAATAATTATCATTTAACCATCTTTTAAGCCAGAATGAATTATAACTTCTCCAATATGGTTTTTGGTGTATACTTTTATGCTTTGGCACAGAAGCATGTCATGTTTAAATTATACACAGCAGATAGTATAACAGAAAAATTAAAGGCTTAACGATACCTGAGGCCTTCAAATTTTTGGAGAAAAAAAATACAATAATTTATTTTCCATTCAATGTGATCCTTACACTAAGAAAAAAATATTTTGACCCTTTGACCAATTATACATACATACATCTAATCATATTTCGGGTAATTCAAAGGACTATTCGTGAGCCCTAACATATCGTATAATAAGTTAGCATATAAAGCTCCGAATTTGTGTTTTTATGGTCTTATAGACTTATGTTTAAGTAATATTCAAAAAAGAAAAAGCATAAAAATATTATTATACTTTAAATTTAAATAATTTCTTAATTTTTATTTTTATTTTCATAAAAATTAATTAAACACTCGAACTTTCTAAAAAATCGATTAAACTCCTCTTCCACGTCATTATCCACCATGGACTGTTATGCCATCACCATGAACCGCTACACCAGTATCTAAATGGTCAACATAACTTTTCATTAGTTAGAGAGCCAAATTGATTTTTTTTCTTTCAATTTAAGGATCACATTGGATGTAAAAATAAGTTCAGGGATCAAATTGATTTTTATTTTAAAATTGAGAGCATAAGATGCTATTTAGCCAAAATTAAATAATATTAAGGACAGAGATAACTATATTATATATGCAAAAAACAAAATGAAGCGTGCGTATTAAAGACGCCACCGTTTTTAGTGCATTGTATTTCTTTTATTCGTAGCGCGCTTTATGTTATGTCTTTTCCCTTATGGGGATGTCCCTCTTCATTATAGAATTAACAAGTTCAATCTTCGTGCTTCTTTTAACTTATCTAATTGATTGTTTTGGTCTTGGGAGGTGTGTTTGCCATTTGGCAGAAGATGACATTGGTTGCATTTTACAGCTTCTTTTCTCCATTATTTGTTTCTAAGTTGTAATACTAAATGGCTTCAATTTGCTTTGGTAATTTTCCCTTGTTTTTAATTTAACCACCTTTGTTTCTAGATTCGTTCTTTCTCCTCAAGGGCACAAGAACTCTCCAACAGATGGGGAAATGCCCCAGTTGTGCTTGGTGGCGATTTTAATAGCACTCCTCAGGCGTGCATCTGAATTTTGTTCTATTTACATATATATTCTTATCACCATGCAACTATACTTCTCGGTAAATGCTAATTGTTCCAATGTTTGTGACAGAGTGCAATATACAAGTTCTTGTCAACGTCAGAGGTAACATTCTATTGAACCTTTTATCCATGAAAACTGTTCTGCTACAAAATTCTCTTCTTCATGGTTTGCCAGTGATGATTAATGGAATCTAATTATATTTAAACATATGGCCTGTCCTTTCCTTTTGCAGCTGAACATCAAGTTGTATAACAGAAGAGAGTTGTCAGGCCAGAGAAGTTGCCACCCTTCTCAAGTTCTGGGTGCTAACAGCGAATTGAATTCATTTACTGTTCTGGACAAGTACTTTTTCCTTTTCAACACCTTATCATTGTTCCTAATTGCTTTCAGATTGTGTGTGTTTATGCATGTAACATGATATTGATGATAATTGGCCTATAATATTTTCCCATCAGTTCCTCGTCTCAAACTCATTTCTTCTTCCGGTAATTTCTGATTAATATAATTCAGTAATTCTCATTTCAGACTTTTGAATGATTGCTGGACTGACGAGGAGGTTAAAGCTGCAGCAGGAACTGCTAATAGTGATTTTGTTATGCACCCATTGCAGCTTAGTAGCTCTTATGCTACGGTAAAGGTATGCATGGACACATTTAGATACGTATACGGAAAAATAATTAGATTGTTCTATATTATTATCGTTCATCTCCAGTTATTTGGGGAGTTTGTAACGGTTATTATTTTCTCAGGGTTCTACAAATACACGGGACTCGAATGGTGAACCTTTAGCTACTTCCTACCACTCTAAGTTTCTTGGAACTGTTGATTATTTATGGTACAAGGCTTTCTGGACTCCGTAATTATATTATAGTGGCATCGCGGCTTTTGACAATGAGCAAAACTTAAGATTGCTTGACTTGGTACAGGTACTCAGAAGGCATTCTACCTATTAGAGTTTTGGATACTCTTCCAATTGATACGCTCAGAAGGACTGGTGGCCTTCCATGGAAGGTAAGAACAATATATAACCAACCGCCCTGTTCTTTACGAGTCTTTGCTTCTTGAGTATTTATTGTTACTTTTTTAACTGTGGAATCCTTTTCTTTTGTCTTTGGAGGGAGACATGTTGATTAAAACAACGTGATTGAGCTCTGTGTTGCTTCAACTTTTCATTTCTCTTGAAGTGGTCCACAATTTTAAATATGGGGTGTTGGAATATAAGCCTCTTAGGACCCTCCAAACATATGAAAAAACTTGGACATAAGCCATGTTCGACATTGACCTCTTAGGATGAATTGATGAATGCATTTTTCTTTTCATTTTCAGCCATCAAATTGATGAAGCCATTTAAGATATTAAGAACAAACAAATCTCGGAGAGCATACTGGGTTATATCATATATGGAACACTAGGGTCCACAATTTTCTGCATGAAACTGGAGCTGCTGACCTTAATTTGACCGGAAATATAAGCATCTGCCGATTTCACATTAAAAACAAAAGAAAAAACTTTGGGTAATAATTCCAATGGATGTATATCTTATTGTTTCCAACCACTATCCTTCTTGTAAGCGTTTGCTCGAAAACAATTAATGATATGTTGTGAAAAATTCTAATACAACATAGGGGGATTGTAGAGCGGTTCTGAGTTCTTATATTTTTGTTTCTAGATATTGCAACTCTTTCGGTCTCTTCAGTTTGTTCCTTTTTTATCTGTTTAAGGGTGATAATTTAGGCATATTACTCTCAATATTCATTTCCCATCTGACCCTGGTTCTATTACCATACAGAAAATAGGAAGTGATCATTTGGCTTTGGTTTCGGAATTTGTCTTCTCTAAAAGAAACGAAGACGATAAACCGGGTACGGCAGTCCTCCGTTCAGATTAAATCCCCCAGTCTGACTGCAAACAAAAATATTGAACACACTGCATTTACTCTACGAAGGGACGATCAATGTGTGGGGTGGGTGATAATTGATAACTATGGCTGGAAACATAGTAGCAGTTGCATGAGATTTCTTAGCATACAGGGACCTACTGGCTTTCATTGCTAAATTTTTATTTACATCCCTGAACGTGTCTTGTAAATAATGCCCCCTTTTTGAAATACGTAAGATATGCTGATTATTTTTCCCCTTTTTGGTCTGACCCAAGTTGATCGAGATAGGATTAGACATTAAATTGTTGGACCACCAATGTTCATGTCCTCATCATGATGTGTTTAAATAACATGTAGACACATGATAATAATGTAGGAAACTTTTATGGTATAGTTTCAAATTTGATGCACTATGCCTTACCATGTTTTCATACCCAAACTCATATTGCTAATTATGGCAAATTCCATTACAAAGTTCATTTAAAAGATTGAAAGCTACCACTACCTGGTTTTTTCTATTAAATACACGTTTCATTATGCACATTACAAACTGCTAACTTTCAAAATTATCCCATAAAAAATACAAATTATTATTTTCAATGATATTTATTATCAACAAAACATAATTTATTTCTTATAATAGTGTCATTCAATCTCTTTTATTTTAAAATAGTATTCATTTATTTATATAAAAATTAATAACTGTATTTATCTCAAAACTAATATAAATATAAAAATATACCATAAAACTTTTGAACAAAATATAAATATGAATATATCTAACTGCTACGGTATTTGATTGTGCTTAATATTTAATATTTAAATTATAATATAAGTTAAGCTTTAATTTGGTAGTACTTAAAACAAATTTTAAAATAATTAAATTTTTTATTTTAAAAATAAAACTTCACATGCGTTGCTCATATTTCCACGTCAACCATATATGCGGGCCAAAAGTTATCCAATAATAAAATATCCCATACTGGATCTAAGCCGTCAAACTCATTCCATTCAACGCCCCGACGGTCGCATTTGACCGACGTTTCCATACTCATTTAAATCCGGTCCGCATACGTCACCCAATCACAATCCTCCACGTGTATTCAACGAAGACTATTGGCGGCTTGGCTCTACGATTCTGTGTAACTAGGTCATTTCGTATGGAAAGAATCGTCGGTTGCTAAAAGCAATATAAAACCATTAGACTTTATTTCAAGGATCTCTTGATTTCCCGCCCCACCCCCCTTCTTTCTCCTTCTCCGTTTCGCCGATTCAGAATTCTATTGAATTTCGGTTTTGTTCTGTTTTCTTTTACGATTTTTTTGTAGTCGTGGAAATCGAGAGATCGAAAACAAGAAAAGCAAAAATTAGAGAATTATTATGCGGAGACTCGTTGACGAGGCCCTCGCAATTTCAAAAGAGTGAGTCTTCTTCTTTCTCTCTATCCTTATATTCATACGTGTACTCGTATACGCATTTTTCGGATCAGTTTTCTGCATCCACCTTTCTTTTGTTATACGATTATTTCGCTTATTTATGGATTTTCCCGGAATTTTAGGAGATTATTTGATTGAGCCTGGACTTCTTAGGGATCAACTCTTAGATTTTATATGCATTATTTTTAGGAGAATTGGTTGGGAGCGTTTATTAGCTGAATCGAGTTCATTAAAGCAGAAATCAAAAGTAGTTAGTAGGATTTTCTGGGTATTACTTATTTAGAATTTTATCAAATGGAACCATTCTGGAATTACTATGACGATTTTGTCTTTCCAGTGTGGAAATCTCAATGGAAACTGAAATTACGTCATTGCTCTCTTAGTTTGACCATAATTTCCTTGCTGCGGAAACCTTTTTTTCTTCTCATAAACAAAAAGAATTTACAGAGAATGTTTAATTTCTTGACTTGTTTAAGAAGACAAATAAAATGAACCCAGTTTAGAAGCCTAAATAATTTGATCTGATTGTTTTCTTTTTGCTCTGATTTAGAACTTCCTTGATATAAATGAATTGCGGAAGCTTAGCCGGGAGTCGTACTTGTTTACAATTCTCGCCTTTTTGAGTCATATGATTCGGTTGCATGCCGCAACTTAATGCTACAGATTTTTTCTGGAAATCCTACTTTACCCCATTGATTTAATGAAACACGTTGGTTAAATCCCTTATTCTTATATGTGACTCAACTTTTCAATATTGAATATCTGTGTGTTATTTAATCTTTTTACCACGTCTCAAAAGGACATAAGTATGAAGAAGTGTCTGTTTATGAAATTCTTCTTCTATTGTTGCAGCTCTCTATTGCCATTGGTGAATGTTTTTCAAATTTCAATATGTTTTGGCCCAAAACTTTATCGAGTTAACGTTAGTCAAGAAGAAATAAGATAGATTTCTCATAAGTTTTTGAAGTCAGGGACGTAGTTGAAAAAATAAAATACTATTAAAATATATTATTATTTATTTGAAAAAATGGTAAAATTATATTTGGCCTCTTAAATTTTAAAAAAATTAGATTACCTATGTATAATGTCTTGGAAATAGGGGTGAGCGTTCGATCGAGTTGAGTTGAGTAAAAAAATCGAATTATTTGAGTTGACGAGTCTTATTTCATAACTCGAACATGACTTGAAATTTTTTAGAATCAAGTCGAGTTTTCGAGTTTTTTTTTTAAATTTAATTGTAAATATTTGTAATATTTTGATATTATTTGATTCCAATTTAAATGATTTTTATAACTATATACAATACACATACATTTCTTCATATTTTTTATATGTGATATTCATATATCATACAGAGCCAGGGACTCGACTCAAACTTGAAAATCAATCCACTAATTTCTAAAATTTTTGAGTTATTCGAGTTACGACTTACTATTCAAGTTATTCGAGCTGTATTTTGTAACTCGATTTGAACTTAAATTATTTGAATCGAGTTGAGTTTTTTCGAATCAAGTCGAATCGAAAAAATCTGTTTTTCGAGTCGAGTTTTGTTCACCCCTACTTGGAAACACTATTTATTTTACTTCTTCTAAATATAACTTTTTTAAATGTGCAATAGTCAAAGTAATTTATTATACTTTAAAATTGAAAAAATATTATAAGATTATTATATATTATTAATAATTTATATATGATCTTTTCATTATAAAATTGTTGGTAGGTCGCTTAGGATAATTAAAGTAGCAAAAAAAAAAATCCTACTTAGCCAATCTACCCATTTGTCTTTTTAAAATATTTTATTATTAATATTAAATAAAAATAGTTTACAGGAAAAAAACACATTTTAAATGTTTTAGTCGATTCAAACTTAAAAAGAATAAGAGAAAAAAACTATTCGGATAGAAACATCTAGTTAGGTAGATAATCTGTAGTTTAACAATTTATATTTTTTAAAATCTTTGTAAACATACACATACACATATATTTTGGTTATACAGTATATTCCTAACTTTCCTATTGATATATCACCTCTTTACTTGAAGGGATGAATCCTCTCTAGAGTCTAGACTACTTCTTTTAAGTGGCGAACCCGGAACTATGTTGAGTTTGTTTTTTATTCCTATCATTAATTTTCCTTTTGTTACATGTTTAGACCCTTCCCTACCCTTAAATAGAGGGATATTGAGTCAGCATTCTCAATCTCAACTCTGTATGTTGTACCAGCAATGATGTCAACCGAACTAAACTCAATCGGTTTTTTATTTACTTTGTATGTATTAAAAAGGGAAAAAAAACATAAAACAAAAGTTTCGACCGAAGGAAGCCCAAGTATTTTTATTTGGGGTAACCGATTTGTTTTTATCTTTAATGCAGGTTGCTGAAGACTTTTATGTATGAGTTTTTGAATAATATTGCGCGGTTGATAAATGGAGTGTCCTCACTTTTTTGGCCGTTGTACTTGGAAAGGCAAATATTCTTGAAGGCGTTCAAGGATGGGAGCTTAGGCCAACTTTCCATGGACCTCGGTTTCCACGCTGGATGGAAAAGTACGTGTCTTTTTTTTTTATATACAGTTTTGATGAGAGAAGAAATTAGTCTCAAAAGGTTTATGTGCATAAGTAGAATACCTTCACCAGAGTGATTTAAATAGGTAACATTAGCATTTAGTAGTTTGCTTCTTTGCTTTGGCCCCATCTTTGTTCACACAATTTTAGCGTGTGTTTTCAACCTATGTCCAATGTACTTCTGGAGAGCCTATCCTAATTAGCTTCTTACATTCTGATTAGGATTTTTTTTATTCTCCGTGTCCATTTACAATCTATACTTGGAGTTCGATCCGAATAAGATTTGTTTTAATGTAAAGGTGTGGTCATTCTTTGAAGAATATTACTAGATGTTATTGCTTATGAAAATTGCCTACAACACCTCTGATTTTGCTGGTCATGAAGATAGATTTTTGCATAACTGCAGAATCACAATGCCTTAAACAGAAAGTGGTGTCATCAGAAGTTTCTTAAATTCGTTAGTTCTCTTTTGCTTAATTTTCTAGTTCTATGATCTAAAATCTGGAATTTGCACCTACGGTTTTCTCAGTCCTGCATGAAGAAAATGCAGTGGGTTGAATTATTGAATTTATGATAAGCCATTATCACCCTGTACCAGCTTTTTTACCATATAGGTAATTCTGGTAGTTGACATTTTGACTTTTCTTGTTGACCACAGTGGTGTTTCCTCATTCAACCAGTTAATCCATGAGCTTTCTGTGGACTCTGATACTTCAAGTGTAGACTATTCCTCTGAAGAAAACGATCTTGATGAAACATACCCTGCGTCACAATCATCTTATGGGTCAAGAACCTCTCAAACAAGTTTTGCTATCAATCACGCTCGGCATTGGACAGTCTGGATGGCATACATATTTTCGTGGATTTTTTTACCTGCTAGGTTTTTGCTGTGGATGCCATTTCTTCTTTTCCGTTTGTTAAATATTTGGGCTTCTTCGGATTCAGGAAGCCCACATGCTAGAAATTTTCACTCCTTTAGGAAAGCACTCTCCTCCAAGGACCATGTTGTCAAACGTAGCATTGACAGGAGGCGTGGAGTTATTGAGGTTTCTTCAAGAACTTACATCATACTACATTATTTCCTGTTTTGCATTGCCTTACTTTTTTCCATTATTTTTTGTAACTTTACTTATTGCGATGTGATGACAATCAGGACCTTCATCTATCAATTGAGATTTTTATAGAAGCTATATTTGATATGATTCACAAGACTGCGCATTTTGTGCTCTCCCCATCCTTGGCATTCAGAATC